TCAGTAGGGTGCCGTGCACAAGTCAGTTGGAGGTACCCCCTCGAAATTTCGCACGTGCAAGACTCACCCCCTCGCTCGCTCCGTTAGTCGCCCCAAAAGGCGCTATACTGGTTTAAACCCCTTTAAAAGCAAAGCAATTAGGTCAATAATGGAATTCTGGAATACCGCTACCGCCCACCGGCATGTCAGCACGACCGCCTGGCACAACAGCTGACAGCCACGCGACAGCGGCCCCAACCTTATCCTGAAGAATATTGGCAGCGGCTGCCAATATTCGGCCGTATCTGTGGCTGCCATCTAATCGGCCGTATCTGTGTTCGTGCTGCATTCGTGTGACAATATTACCACCGGCCTATTTCAATTACTGTGATGTTAAAGGGACCCTCCCACCTTCAAAAAAGTTTATGAATTGGCATGAAAGTGATGTCGCTCGGTTCAGAAAGAGCGAAAACGAATATCTTCCAAATTTCACCGAAAAATATTCACCGGTTTTCAAGATATTAGACTTTTACTTTTGCTTACTTTTTGGGATCTCCGCTGTTCCTAGCGACTTTATTTGGAAGCAATAGTTTGGCAGCTGAAAGTGCGGCACTTGTTGCGCGCAAAACAGCATATACCACCGCGTGCTACAAAACGTTTTAGTCAAACATTTAAAAATCGTTAGATATCTGCGCTATATTTCCGATTCAAGGCATTTCTCGATGTTGTGAGTGCCGAAACCGGTAATTGTGAGCCAGGGACCCCATTTTGGCTATCTCAACTCAAATCTAATGTTAAGGTGGGAGGGTCCCTTTAAGACGTGTCTGTGCCCCATGCCAGCCTTTCCCAGCGCCCGTATAGGCACGAGCCACCGCCCGCAGTGACACCTCGTCGCTCAGGTGGCGCATGCTAGTTCTAACCTCGCTTCCCAGATGACACTAGCCGTCCGCACCAGGGGTGATACTGCACCGCAAGACACATTTAAGAACGGAGAGGGGGTGAGACTAAATGCTTACTTCGAAATCTAGCTGCGTTGCGGCATTGGCGGTTATGTGCGGCGTGTATGCCGCATGAACAATAAGCGGCGACCACTAAATTAAAGACTCAAGCGCTCCGACCTGTTTTCAATGAATAACACTGCATACCAAAAATGCCAATCGCTCTTGTCATGAAATATTTAGATTTAAATAACTAAGTTATCTACATCACATCTTGAGCCAAATTAATACTTTCAACTTGACTCACTCATTCCTTCCTTCGTTGGCTCCAAACAGTCTTTCGATTGTCTGGAAATCGTATGCCAAATCCCGTACCTGTATGCATGGGTGGAGAATTGTTTTCAAAGTTGGTATGGCGCCAGTTGCTTGAAACAATGCTTAATAGCAGAAACGTTGACACATAAGGAAAATCTGGGTACATAGGTATAACAGTGCACTTTTTGTACATTACATGACGGTTCCATGAATCCATATAACGTATATATCAAATTTGAGATGAAATAGTGTAATTGACACCGAACAAATTATTAAAACGCATCGAGATGCAACCTTAATTAAACCAAGTATGCAGTGGATTACTTGTCTTGTTCCCTGAAACTCCTTGTTTATGATACAAAGCATTTTTACCTCATATTTTATATTTTTATAAGCTGTAATCCTTAAATTTCATAGTTTTTACCCTAAAAGTTGGTATGGCATTGCCATACCATTTTTTAAGTTGGTGTGGCGCATGCCATACCTGCCAAACCGCATTCTCCACCCATGCCTGTATGCGACTGGTGCATATAAAGGCCGATGTAAGAATTTGAATAGGCTCTCGCATGCGATTTCCTGGCTACCCAAAAAGTCTGTTTCAGTCATGCTATCAAAACATGGTATGTCAGGCCTGTCACCGGCTTATGGTGCCCTGCTTGTAGTGCCCCTGACCGTCACCGACTTCCTTCCCGATCCTTAAAAAGCCTAGTTTCCCTCCATCATCTCTACTAGATTTAGGTGATGCCAGTGGCGGATCCAAAGGGGGGGGGGGGCATATGGGTCATGGCCCCCCTTGGGGCCCTTGTGGTGCCCCACGGGGGCACCACAGGCCATCAATTCCCAGGGGCACCACAGGCCTGACAGGGACACCACAGGCCCGCCAGGGGCACCACCGGCCTCGCAGGGGCCAGGGGCACCCCCGGCCTCGCAGGGGCCAGGGGCACCCCCGGCCTCACAGGGGCACCACCGGCCTCGCCTCGCAGGGGCACCACCGGCTTCGCAGGGCCCAGGGGCACCTTGGGCTTATAAGGGCACTTCAGGTTTGTCAGGGGCACCACAGGCCCGCTAGGGGCACCACAGGCCTGCCAGGGGCACCATCGGCTTCGCAGGGCCCAGGGGCACTTCAGGTTTGTCAGGGGCACCACAGTCCTGCCAGGGCCCAGGGGCACCAGCGGCCTAGCAGGGGCACCACAGGCCCGCTAAGGGTACCACAGGCCTAGCAAGGGCACCGCGGACCTGTCAGGGGCACCACGTGCCTGTCAGGGGCACCTCAGGCTTGTCAGGGCCCAGGGGCACCACAGTCCTTTCAGGGGCACCACAGGCCTGTCAGGGGCACCAGAGGTCTAGCAGGGGCACCACAGGCCAGCCAGGGGCACCACCGGCCTGGCAGGGGCACCTTGGGCCTGTCAGGGGCACCACGTGCCTGTCAGGACCCAGGCGGCAGGAGAAAATAAAAAAATAAAAAAGGGAAAAAAATAAAAATAGGGCTCCACCAAAATTAAGTGGCCGAAATCCGCTGAGTTTTTAATTTGGGGGATATACATAGGTAGGGGCCCCAGTTCGATTCATGACCCTCCCTTGGAGTTTTTCTGGATCCGCCCCTGGGTGATGCTCTGACAAATTCACAAACAAAACCGAACTCTGAACAAGTTCGAATAAGTTCGGTCTTCTTTGTGAATTTGTCCGGCATCACCTAAATCTAGTAGAGATGATGGAGGGAAACTAGGCTTTTTAAGGAGGCAAGGGACTAGGGAGTCGGTGACGGTCAGGGGCACTACACAAGCAGAGCACCATAGGCCGGTGACAGGGCTGACATACCATGTTTTGATAGCATGACTGAAACAGACGTTTTGGGTAGCCAGGAAATCGCATGCGAGAGCCTATTCAAATTCTTACATCGGCCTTTATATGCACCAGTTGCATACAGGTACGGGATTTGGCATAGGTACGCTTTCCAGACAATCGACAGACTGTTTGGAGCCAACGAAGGAAGGAATAAGTGAGTTAAGTTGAAGGTATTAATTTGGCTCAAAATGATTATGTAGATAACTTAGTTATTTAAATCTAAATATCTTATGACTAATGACGAGAGCGATTGGCATTTTTGGTATGCAGTGTTATTCATTGAAAACAGGTCGGAGCGTTTGAGTCTTTAATTTAGTGGTCGCCGCTTACTAATCATGCGGCATACACGTACACACCGCACATAACCGCCAATGCCGCAACGCAGCTAGATTTCGAAGTAAGCATTTAGTCTCACCCCGGAGAGGCAGCTGCGGCGGGTGAGACTAAATGCTTACTTCGAAATCTAAGCTGCCTTGCGGCTTTGGCGGTTATGTGCGGCGTGTATGCCGCATGCTTAGTAAGTGGCGACCACTAAATTGAAAACTCAATAGCTTTGACCTGTTTTCAATGGATAACACTGCATACCAAAAATGTCCATCGCTCTCGTCATAGGATATTTAGATTTAAATAACTAACTTATCTACATCATCGTTTTGAACCAAATTAATACTTTCAACTTGACCCTCGCCCGTATTGGTGTTTTTCCAGCCGCGAACGTATAAGGTATAACCCCTTGCCGTTTCGCTCCTGATCAAGCTAGAGCTTCGCGGAAAAAAACGAGCGTGTTGCCCGTGACGAGAGGAAGCCGATGATACCCAATTTTAAGGTCCTAGGTCATCGGTTGACCTTCCAGGTCAGGTCAATGACCCAAAAGGCGGGAAAATCAGGACCTGTTAGAGCGTCGTAGTGTGGCTACTATGGGGTTTTTTGGGGTGCTGATCACGAATATCATGCTAGTTTTGATCACAGATGATGTCTTCATTCATTTAGGCCAGGTCGGGTCAGGTCAGGTCAGGTCAACCAGTAGAGGTCCTGCCGGGTATTTGTAGTAGGTGTCAACCGCCTCTGACAGCCTTGTAACATGTTACGAAGGCACCAAAACTACTTTGTAAACGTTCATGTGGTTGCTAAATTCGAATTCAGCTCGAAAAACTGGCCTAGAAACATGTCAAACTCGAAAAAGTGAACCGAGGTCACCAAAGGTCAATGACCTGACCTGACCTTCAGGTGACCTTGACACCCACCCTAATGCATGGGGGCAAGATCATATCACATGTTTGAACGCTTGAAACCACGAAAAGACTGCAAACGCGCTGCTAATGCGAGCCGACATACGCTGAATCGCGGTTCCGGCCAAACATGGTCTCGAAAAGTAGGTCACAGGTCAAAGGTTATTTGCGTCAGGGTCATGAAATTTTCAGGGTAGGTGTAAAATTGATCAACGCGAGGGTACTAAAAGTTACGTCGTGATCGGCCGCTTTTTACGCGAGTTATTTGCGAAAAACCGAGGGGAGTCCGCTCGACCCCCCGCCCCCCCTTAAAGGGCGAGGGTTAACTCACAGTCCGAACTCCGAACAAGTTCGGTCTTGTTTGTGAATTTGTCGGAGCATCACCTAAATCTAGTAGAGATGATGGAGGGAAACTAGGCTTTTAAGGAGGGAAGGGAGTCGGTGACGGTCAGGGGCACTACAAGCAGAGCAGTCATAAGCTGGTGACAGGGCTGACATACCATGTTTTGATAGCATGACTGAAACAGACTTTTTGGGTAGCCAGGAAATCGCATGCGAGAGCCGGGTCAGGTCAGGTCAGGTCAACCAGTAGAGGTCCTGCCGGGTATTTGTAGTAGGTGTCAACCGCCTCTGACAGCCTTGTAACATGTTACGAAGGCATTTTGTATGTGGGTGCTATAATGCGAGAGCGCAGCCGCGTCCACAGTGCCTGGACAGGGACGTCCTCGGCATGGGACAGGGACGTCCTCGGCCTCTGCCAGTTTGCTCTTCAGGCTTGCCAGTTCAGCCTCAAGTGCTGGGCATCTGGTACACCTGTTAGGACAAAAGGATCATCAGAACAAGAAAGGGATTTCAAAATACAGAAGTAACTTTAGCTATCATGGGTGCTATCAGCTATTCATGTGAGCATGGGTGGGGGGGGGGGGGCATGGGTGCAGGTGTGTGTTTCATTCATGTGGGTGAGTACTGATTGTAACTAATATTCTACAATCCACAGGTACTGTGCTATCAAGCAATTACCAATTTCTATTCCTGACTTTATAGTAACACTGAGCTGGAGGAGGATATTCTTAACCAATCTTCCACCAATATTAGGCAATGACAGGAATTAAATTTATGTTTCAAACTGCACCTATTTTCTAGAAAAGTCATAGACATGTGTACATAAATAACATACTTGAAATGTATCTGAAATAAGTTAAATAAGATACGACGTACTTTGAAGGCTCACACTTCGTCTGTACAGATGCATCTGAATGCAGGCATTCTTCTGCTTGGAGTGATGAGTCTTTGGGAGCTGCTTGTTCTCCTTCTTCTTGCACCTGCCTTGACTCATCTTCCTCTCCACCTCTGTGTAGCAGCACCACTCCTTGGTGTTGTGACTCTGTAAAAATAACCGACTTTAGTAACAAACGCTTACTGCTAAATACGTGACATTAATGATGTCTATTCTAGCTGGTAACTCAGAGCTAACAAGAAGTTCAAAATTAAGTTGTTTGTTCAGCTGAGCTTTCCTTATAACAAAAAAGGCAAAATGGGGTAATTTTGACTATAGGTACCCAACTATCCATCTGATCTGGTCTGAGCTGAGCAACTCCATCCCTGTCCCTGCTGGTGGGAAACTCATTTGGTATCAAACTTACTAAGACAGGCACAAAAATTGGTAGGTTAGGTATGGAAAACAAAACAAAACTTATCATGGAAAAGGTGAGCTCTCCATTCATAAAACTCTAACCTTCCATTCACAGCACATGCTTATACATACCTACACCTTAATGTATTGCCAAAAAAGGTCCCTCAAAAATGGGTTATTCACCAATCCGGACAGCTGAAAAGCGAGCTGTCCGTAAAGTGTATACAGATTTGCTATTCAACCGATAGGTAAACTCATAAATATCTGATGGGCACACTTAAGGCCTGGCTACTCTACCTATGCGTTTTCTGCATGCGTTTTTTGCGGGTTTGCATGTTTTGCGAAATATCGATCTAGAAACAAAAGTAATAAATAATTTAACTTTTACTTTAGCTATACACAAAAGTTGATAAAACTCTTATATTAACTAAAATATAATACCAAAACATATCACAAAAACATTGTTTTTACTACAACAATACTACGCAAAACCCGCAAACCCGCGAAAACCGCATGCAGTATAGTCAGGTGAGGCCTTTACCTTGGAGGACGAGTCAGGTTTCTGGATGGGACTGATGTAGGTAGCAGCTTCATGGCAGAATACTGCGGAGGCAACTTAAGCAGTTCTGACCTGAGGCCTCTTTCATAGTCAGCAGTTACAAAATGCGAAGAACACAAACCATACTGGCGGAAGTTCTTCGGGAATGGCTCCCCTCTTTTTATGATCTGCCACCATCGCCTTGCCATCACTTCATCCGCTGGGAACTCGTGATATTTGGTGCCGGGCGCCTGGTTATTTCGGTATTAGTATATATTAGGTCCGAGTGGACAATTGTGACGCTGTTGATACAAATATGTAACAGCAAAAAATTTAGGTTTTAGGTTAGGTTGGGTTGTAGGTTTGTAGGTTTTAGGTTGGTAGGTTTGTAGGTTTTAGGTTTGTAGGTTGTAGGTTGGTAGGTTGTAGGTAAATAGGTAAGGTTGGGTCAGGTTTGATTGTTTTTCTTTTATTTCCAGGACATATAAGTATCATTTTTGGATTCAGGATGTCGAATAATGTAAGAATATGAAAACTTTATCTTTTAACAGTCACTCGGACTCAACTCCCGGACCCATTTCTACACGAAGGTTCCGCACAGTAAACCATCATAGAATTTAAATCATTAGCAATCAGAAATCAAAGCAAAATGTTATCAATCACCAACTGATGCCCCATGAGCACCACGCAACAATCCACGATGCCAATGAATAATAAATAGTATATTTAGGGCCTCGAATAAATATATCCGCGGACCGCGGCGGCCCTCAATTCGGACGACGGTGAAAACAGGGCGCCTGGGGCGATTTGATCAAGGTTCGTGAAATTTACACGTGACGTTTGGCATACAGTAGGCCCACGGAGGGGGAGAAGTTCCAAATGTCACGTGACTTATATGCCCTCCGGCGCCCTGTTTTCACCGGCGTCCCTCAATTCAACTTTCAATTGTCCCGAAAACCAATATACCTTGCCAAAAACATTCGACGTGGTTTGATCTAGTGCATTATACATTTTCGTAAACAAGGTAAAAATGATGTAATTTTGACGTCATAAAACACATCTTACACGTTAGTCTCACAGTCTTATTATTGTTATAACGCAATCAAACTCATGCTAAACTACGACCTCAGCTGAATATTTGCGTCAAGATATGTTTCATCTGCGCAAAGTTTGTCGTGATTGAGTGCTTCCATATCTCAAACTCTGACCGTACCTGTTATTTATAGGTATCTTGAAACCGGTTTCGGTGACATTCAAAAGTACCAGAGTACCATTGTACCCAGGTTACACCGGGACCAAGGTTACACCGGGGCCCAGGTTACGTTCGGCCCCAGGATTTGAAGGGACCATGAAGACGCAAGTACCATACTGTGATTGGTCGTTGGCAGACGGGAATGACGTAATGCATCCATGTGGCGGCCGTGACGTTGACCAATAGGAGGGGCGGATACAAATTTGGACCGCCTTGGTACACTACTTGGCAGTGTGCTTGGGAATGATATTCTCGAGATTGAATTGAGGTAGCGCCGTCCATCGCCCGCCGCGGCGGCGCCCAGGCCCGAGGGTCATCCGGCGCGGCGGGAGGTAGCGTCCCTCGGACCCCCGCGCGGCGGTATAGCGTACTGCGGCGTCAAGAAGTAAAAATGACCCCTTGCACGAATTAGTGTTCGCAGCGGCTAACTTAACCCTGGCATGTGTAGGGGGGGGGGGTCGGATGGACCCCCCCCCCCATGGTTTTTCGCGAATAACTCGCGTAAAAAGCGGCCGATCGCGACGAAACTTTCAGTACCCTCACATTGAACAATTTTACACCTACCCTGAAATTTTCATGACCCTGACCCAACTGACCTTTGACCTGTGACCTCTTTTCCGAGACCATGTTTGGCCGGAATCGCGATTCTGCGTATGTCGGCTCGCATTAGCCGCGCGTTTGCAAGCTTTTCGTGGTTTCAAACGTTCAAACATGTGATTTGATGTTGCTTCCATGCATTAGGGTGGGTGTCAAGATCACCTGAAGGTCAGGTCAGGTCATTGACCTTTGGTGACCTCGGGTGACCTCGGTTCACCTTTTCGAGCTGTACATGTTTCTAGGCTAGTTTTTGGAGCTGAATTCGAATTTAGCAACCATTTGAACATTTACGAAGTAGTTTTGGTGTCTTCGTAACATGTTACGAAGCTGTCAGAGGCGGTTGACACGTACTACGAATACCCGTCACGATGCCTACTGGTTGACCTGACCTGACCTGACCCGACCTGGTCTAAATGCTTTAAGACATCATCTGTGATCAAAACTAACACGATATTCGTGATCAGCACCCCGAAAAACCCCTTAGCAGCCACACTTTACGACTTTCTAACCAGGGGCGTAATCACTCCTTAAAAAATGGGCTGGAAATAACTCCCTCCGGGGGCGGCATCAAATGCGAAGGGAAGGGCGTCACTTATATTTTGGGAGCCAGAGGTGAGTGTTTGAGGGCCGATGTGTTTGTGTATTAACCTCGCCCGTATCGGGGGGGGGGGGGGTCGAACGGACCACCCCTCGGTTTTTCGCGGATAACTCGCGTAAAAAGCGGCCGATCGCGACGAAACTTTCAGTACCCTCGCGTTAATCAAGTTTACACCTGCCCTGAAAATTTCATGACCCTGACCCTAATGACCTTTGACCCACTTTTCGACACCATGTTTGGCAGGAATCGCGATTCGGCGTATGTCGGCTCGCATAAGCCGCGCGTTTGCGGTCTTTTCGTGGTTTCATGCGTTCAGACATGGGATATGATGGTGCTCCCATGCATAAGGGTGGGTGTCAAGGTCACCGGAAGGTCAGGTCAGGTCATTGACCTTTGATGACCTCGGTTCACTTTTTCGAGCTTTACATGTTTCTAGGTTAGTTTTTGGAGCTAAATTCCAATTTAGCAGCCATTTGAACATTTACGAAGTAGTTTTGGTGCCTTCGAAACATGTTACGAAGCTGTCAGAGGCGGTTGCCACCCATTACGAATACCCGACAAAACCCTTACTGGTTGACCTGACCTGACCGGACCCGACCTGGCCAAATGCATGAAGACATCATCTATGATTATAATTAACATAATATGCGTGATCAGCACCCCGAAAACTCCATAGCAGCCACCCTTTACGACGTTCTAACAGGTCCCGATTTTCCCGACATTTGGGTCATTGATCTGACCTGGAAGGTCAACCGATGACCTAAGACCTTAAAATTGGGTATCATCGGCTTCTTCTCGTCACGGGCAACACGGTCGTTTCTCCGCGAAGCTCTAGCTCGATCAGGGGCCAAACGGCAAGGTCCCCCCCTATACGTTCGCGGCTGAAAAAAAAACACCAATACGGGCGAGGGTTAATATACCTACTTTCGCTTTGGGAAATTAAAGCAATAATCAGCAGTCAACTGACTATACGTTATAAGGGGCAGACGTAGATAACCCGCCAAGGCTCTGGTGTATGAGATATTGATACTTTATGAGGTAGATATGCATGCGTAAGATGGGCGGTCAGCCCGTTGCTAGCAGTTTGACTTTGCCCTACTACGCACCGGATTGATAAATGATAGGTACACTCTTAAATAGTTCACTTCATTCAGTAGTTCAATTGCAATGGGATCTGAGTTCTGACTGGTTGGCGTCAAACCTAGCCGGCAATTTTAGGGCAGCCACAGGAAGTAAGCTATCCTGGTTAAAAGTTTACATAACAGAAAGCGGCGTATTTAGAAAATCGCGAAGGGGGGCAAGGGTTAGGAGGGCGCCACCTCACCCAAGGAGGGCGCCATACGGTGACGAGATAGAAATCCGTAACGATCGCTCAGGAGGGGGGGGGCGTTTTTTACCACGCCACCAGTTTTTTTTTTGCGTGTGTAAGGAAAGCTGCGACGCACAGTGCTGCGAAACTTGATAGGTATTGGGTTAATCTCACAGTGGCAAAAAGGTTGCAAGTGATTGGCACAGGCACTAAGTTCCTATTGCCAAAGTGTTCTTGAAATGCTGCGCCGAGGGCGCGCGAAATTTTCGAAAACAAACACTTTCTCCGCTTTTTAAGCACATCTGATTTGTTCTCTGTTCAAAGCTCTTCTCACTCTTTTAGCAAAGTTGGTGGGGCAAAAATAAAGGTTGGTGGGACCTGCCACACCAACTGTGCAGGAAGCTCCGCCCATGAGTGACGGCGTAGAAAAAGTTAATTGGTGGCGGCATCCACACCATATCACCGTATCGGATTGATACCGGAGCAAGAGATGCGTTAGTACAAGCTCACAACAAGAAGCAGCAGCGCAGCAACAAGCATCAGAAATATAAACCGAAACAGGACTGCTCCTCATGAGAGCGGGTTAGCCTCTTCGGGCTTCTCACCTAAATTACCTCAGACCAGCCCCTATAGCCTTCCAGTTCTCACAGACCCATGCAGTGCTTAGCACATAACACATAACCAATTTCAATCGCCGAAATGTTGCGACCGTGCCCATTAACTTCTTTATCATACCTAATCCCTGTACCTAAATGTCATAATTGTAAGATCAATCTGCTAAGACCAAGACGGGTTTCATGCATAGAGCGTAGAGTTTTGGTTTACTTCATTCATTGTGCTGAATGCACGCTCATCTGTGGCAGTTTCGACAGGCAAGGCATCAAATATGTGAAAGAGAGCGGCACGCTGGGAAACGTAGATAAATGAAGGGCAGCGATCAGCAGCGGTCGCCAATGGGTAGAAGGGCTGCGATCGACAGGAAGGCACCAATGACTGAGAGGGCGGCGATCATCAGGTCCAGGAGAGCGCCAAATAGGAGGACCCCCGATCAGCATTAACCCGCGAGTTGCTGGGGGGGGGGCGTTAAACGCCCCCACTTTTTTCGCCGGGCCATAGCATAAAAACGGCGCGCCGCAGGCGCGCCAAATTTTGGGTACCTGTAGGGAATTGATTGAAGTTAATTGTGACAAAGTTTCAAAAAAAAAAATCGGTCGGAAAATTTTTGAGATATCGAGGTTTTAGTGACGTCATGATTTCTGAGTTCTCGACCAAAAACGGCATATGTTCAAAAAATCATATAAAATCACAGAAAAGACATACAGGCATGCCGTAAACGCCATTAGACTGCCAATACCATGAACAACCAAATGGTTATCTTC